TGTTGAAACATTTCAATTGGTAGTCTATAAACTCCAATTTTTTTTTTTTTTTTTTTGTCAATGTCTCAGTTATACATGGACTTCTTCCTTCAATGTATCAGGTCTTCCTCATATGCTACCTTTAGAAATGGTTGATCATTGACCAATTATTTTGGTTCAGTGATTCTGAGTATTCCTTCTATCTTTATTTTGATGCTTCCTGTCTCATTCAGTATTTTGCCTATAGAATCTATTAATATTTCAACTGGAAACTTGAATGTTTATTTTTTTCAGTGCTTCCAGCTTGAGAAATACTGAGCATGTTCTTCCCTTTCGATTTTCTAACTTTAGGTATTTGCACATTTCATTTTAATACATCCCTGTAATATTACATTGTCTTCCTAAGCCACCCTTTGAAATCTTCTGCTTCATTATATTATTTCATTATCTCTTCCATTCACTTTAGCTACTCTACATTTAAGAGCAAGTAGCACAGTATTTTCTGACATCCATTTTGGTGTTTATTTCTTAGTTATCTTTTTAATGTCCTTCTGTTTTCTTTATGTATGATGTGTTTGATGTCATACCACAACTTGTCTGGACTTTATTCTTTAATATTTAATACATCAACATCCATGGAAGCAACAGTCAAGAAATCAGACACTGTATTGCATTGAGCAAATCTAATGCAAACAACATCCTTAAAGTGTTAAGGAACAAAGATCTCGCTTGAAAGAGTAAAGGGCACCTAATCCAAGCCATGGTATCTTCAGTCACCTCATATGTGTGTGAATCCTGGACAATTAATAAGGAAGACAGAAGAAATGATACTTTTGAATTGTGGTGTTGGTGAAGAATACTGAAAAACCATGGACTGCCAGAAAAATGAACAAATCTGTCTGGAAGAAGTACAGCTGGAATGCTGCTTGGAACTGAGAATGGCCAGACTTGGTCTCACCTACTTTTGTCATATTGTCAGAATGGACCATTTCCTGTAGAAGGATGTCATGCTTGGTAAAGCAGAGGTCAACAAAAATGGAGAAGGCCCTCAATGAGATTGACCCAGTGACTGCAACAATGGGCTAAAGCATAACAGGATTGTGAGGATGGAGCATGACCAGGCAGTGTTTTGTTATGCTGTTGCAAAAAGGGCAGGAAGACCACATCTCCTGGCCTCCTCTAACCCCACAAGACAAAGACAGAATCCCTATCAGTAGCCCAAGGCCCATTACTTTGAGGCCAGAAATGCTGCCTGCCTCCAGCCCTTTCAGCAACTGTTCCTCCCAAAGCACCCACTACCTCTCTCCTGGGTTCGATAATTCACTGCAGTGGCCACACAGAACTCATGGATTATGGGGTTTATTAGGGAAGCACCGGGCTACAATTCAAGTTCAGAAAAAATGCTCAGTCTCTCTCCCAGCCCACAGTCTCTCTCCTAACAGTCTATCACAGTCTCTTTCCCAACAGTGAGTGTCCCTCAGTGTCTCACTCAGCAATGAGTGTCTCTTGCATGTCTTTTCCAGCAGCGCGTGTCTCTTTCAGGAGTGTGTGTTTCTTTCAGCAGCACATCTTCCTCATCCAGCAGTCAGACAGAGACCTCTGCTTCTAGGAGGCCTCATTTTGAGCCCAGCAGAGTGGCTAAACCAACCAATCATAACATCAGAATTCTAAAGACTTGAGAGAGAGTGGGAACCTCCCAGAACATTGTTTAGTGCCACACCCAACAGAAATACCCCAGGTGGACAACTTTAGCAATCAGGAGCTCCTCAGTTGCTCATGACAAATTCCACATCAGAGTTTACAAAGACTTATGGGTAGAAAAGCTACACTAAGTAATTTCCTACACCGCAGCTGTTCATAGTGTCAATAGGAGTTGGAGCTAACTCAACAACAACTAACAAAAGCAACATCAAATCTAATCCTGAGATAGTTTGTAAATTCATGTAGGGTATATTTAGGGCTGTACGTTGGCTCTTGTAGACTTGTTTTCATAAAGTTTAGCTGAACAGTTTTTCAGAAGTAGATCTGCATATCTTTCTTCCTCATCTGTCTTAGTCTGGAAGTTCTGCTGAAACCTATCCACACCATATGTGGCCCATGTGCTGGCATTTGTAAAACCAGTGCCATAGCTTTCAGTATCATGGCTACCTGCAATCCACCATATTATGACAAACTGATAACTAAATAATGTCTACATATAGATGGTAATAACAAATATTTTCTTGCTTCACATCACAAATACATTTTTCAAAATGACTCTCAGTATATATGTAGCATGTTGCACATACTACATTAAGCATCAGTAATTGTGAATGGAATCCCCACTAAATTTATCAGGAGAGCAATTAGTGACAATTGCTTGCTTTCATAGAAAAATCAAATCTGTCCTTAGTTTATTGTTGAATTATCATAATAATATGATACATGTGCTTACAAATACAATATTGTGGACAAAGTACAACTGTGAACTCAGCTATCAATAGTTCCATTAATATGTGTGACTTTTACATTGCACTGTATTTATATGCCGAATATTTCCATGAAGCTTTCCCTAAAATATTATAGTGCATGATTTTATATTTTATATAAATTAAGCAATAGCAAAATATTATATATTTATAATCTTAGTTTTTGACTGAGATTTAACTTTGGAGTACAAAATTTGGGTCCTTGTAGGAATGAAAAATGTTAAGAAGTTGGACTTCTCTTACACTTGTAGTCCTAATCAGTGATGTGTTCTTAGATTTTAATTTTAACCTTTTCTCACCTGGAAAATATGTTCTTATCCTTCAAATTTTTTCATATTCAAAAGTCAAGTTTAATTTCCAGACAATTCAAGGTACAGTTTTTGTGAACCAAGTAATTGTCCTTCATTATATATACCATCAGGGAAACAGCCATGACCAGAACCCATCCCAGCACATAAGATGTAGATTGTTTGGTGGAGAAATAAGCAAACAACAAGATTTTCCTGTACATTATGATAAATGTTGTGGTAAACAAAAATATAGAATAAAGTCTGAAGTCAAAGGAGGGAATCTCTTCCAGAGATGGGAAGGCTGTATGTAGGAAGTATAGACTGTATGTGTAAAGGCAAGAATGTTTCAAGCATGTCTCTCTAGGATTTCACATGCATTTGACTGCTAACCAGAAGGCTGGTGGTTCAAACCTACCAGCCACTCCTTGGACGGAACACTGGGCAATCTACTTCCATAGAGATACACCCTCGGGAACCCAAGGAGGTATCATTATTAGTCTGACACAACTTGACAGCAGTGACTTTTTAGAGTTAAAAATGTAACCTGATTTGTTTAGCCAATCCCCTTTTGAAGGAAATTATGCTGATTTGAGTTTGTTCCTATTGATGTTAAAATAATAATACATTAAAAGTTCCTTATATAAACTTTGTTAATATATGTAATCATTTTTCTCTGGATTGAAATCTAAAACTGATTTGCAGAAAACATTTTTCTCTTCCAGAGGGATTGTGCCAATTACATTCCCCTCAATAGTGTAATATAGGATCCACATCACCCAAATGTTGCTTTCATTGAATATCGTAATTTTATTCCTATATTTAATGGGAATATAATGAACTTTGATTTTATATTACCTTAGATTCACATCTAAGTAATATATTATAATTCTTGAATAAACTTGAGAAGTCTTACTCCTTATTCCTCATCCATAAAACAGGAATAACAATAGTTTCCTCACTAAGTAAATAAGAGATTATATAGCCTAAAGAATATGAATTTACTACCATAAAGAAGCATCAAATAAATATTTCCTACTTTGTGTGACATTCACATTAAAGATATATTGTAAAGGTTAAATGGAAAAGTGATATTTTAAGGATTGCTTTTGAGTTTGTGTTATTGATTATAAGGCTCATGTTACTTATCTGATGGTAACAAAATTGATATAGGACATTTGAAATTAGTTAGGAACAATAAAGCAAAAAGTTTAAAAGGTAAAGAATTGAAATGAATAACTTCTGAAGGTACATTAAATGGTAAAAAGTTAGTAATAACAATAATCACTATAGATATCAAAGATATTTCAGTTACTACTAATTATATATATGTGTGTATTTTCAAAAAAAATAATTATTATTTTATTTTAAATAAGTATGAAGTTGGGAAGTTTAAGTTTTGTTATTGGGTCTAGGATATAGATCTTAGTGAAGAAAGAATACAAACCATGTCCATTTTCAAATTTAAATTTTTTCTATAAAATGATAAAATATATTGTCTTTCTTAGATGTCAGAACTGGGTTATTTTCAATAATTATCATAGATTAGAAAATATCTTGCTTAATATAGTAAGAGAAATGTGGATATTTTAAGGAGAAAATGTTTGTTTAGTTGTGATGTTGCTATTTTAACTTAAATTTCCAAATATTTTGTAGAATAAATTATTATGATTAAGACAAGATTTAAAAAATGACACAAGAGCATCTTATTCTTTAAGTTTTATCCTAACTTCTTATTTGATAATGTAATTTATTCTGAAAAGTGATTCAATGTGTATTAGCAGCCATTAATTAACTCAATATATATTTTTGTCAGATTATTAAGACCAAACTTAAATCTGTGCATTAATAATTCATATTTTAAATATTTGCCCATGAGCTTTGCAGATACAGCATTTTTTAGAAATTAAATGTTGTGTCAACCCCACATTGAGCAAATCTATAGGCACCATTTTTTTCCAACAACATGTGCTGCTCACTTTGTGTCTCTATGCACATTTTTGTAATTCTCACAATATTTCAAACTTTTTCATAATGCACAGTTGCACAGTGTAACCATAACTTTTATATGTAGTGGGAAACAACACTTTATTGCAATGTTTGCTTTATTGTGGTGTGCTGAAATTGACTCCAAGGTATGCCTGTATATAAAATCAGAGGTACCATGGCTTCTTGCAATAGTCAAATAAAACTACTAATGTCTATACTAGTTAATTATTTATATTAAAGAAAAAGCCTATAAATATTTTATTATATTGTTTTACAGATGCTCCCAAGTTTATATCAAACCAAACCATTTATTACTCTTGGGAAGGAAATCCAATCAATATAAGCTGTGATGTGAAATCTAATCCACCAGCATCAATCCACTGGAGAAGAGATAAATTAGTGTTACCAGCTAAGAACACTACTAATTTAAAGACATATAGTGCAGGAAGAAAGATGATATTGGAGGTAAGTCTTAATATGTATCACTGGATTATATTATTTTAGCAGTCATCTTCTATTTTAGAATCTATTCAAATATCTTGGTTTATAAATATACATTGGAATCTTACCTTTACAGATAGCCAATAATATCTGTTGGTTAAAGCATTAACCTTAAACATACAATTTTATATGTATATGTTTTTGGCAAAGTAAAATTAAATTCTGGACAAAGAAATATAGATGTATATCAAAACATTTTAAAAACAAAGTAAAGCAAAACAATAACAACTAATGAAAAACCAATAGTAATATTGTATAGATAGATAGATACATAGATAGATAAATAGATAGACAGATAGATGGATTTTTTTTAATACCCTTGAGAAAATTTAAAAAAGAGAAAAAATTCAGAGTATAGGCAAAAATTGATCACAGAGAGTTTCTAATAGTTTGGCTGGAATGATATCCCATCCTCAATTGTCTTTATTGTTATTTGTGTCCTAAGGATGCTGATTGATAGTTAAATGTATGTTTTTTCTACAGTCAAATGCCTAGCAAATGGAAATCAGTTCTTTTAAGGTTTAGGAAAATTTTAAGAACTGCTTTAATATCATTGTAATTTCAGCTTATATTTTGATATTTAAAATTGTTACTTGCTGACTTGTATTCTTTCAAAATCTAACATCTTTTATAAACTTGAGTTATTTTAACTGTATATTAACATATGAAGAAAAAATTTCATAAGTACATATTTCTTAGCATTTCCCTGGCTCAATATCAGCAATTATTGATGCAATGTTACTATTTAATTACATTTTTTCACTTAATGCTTTATAATCTACATTTGTGATAAAATATGTTTTGATAAAATTATCCAGTATTTTGCTTTTCTGGGGTTGGGTGTGAAACTGCTGTTGGATTTTACTCTCATATAGCTTTCCTAGACTGCACAAATTATGCTTCAGGACATCTGAGTTGTCATTATAAAATCTGTGCTATGATAGGGCATTTTCTATATTTTTAAACATTCAATATGGAAAAGGAATTATTTGTTTCAGATAGAATTGCAAAGCTTTTATCTATTCATAGCTGACCTTCTAGGCATAGGGAAAAAAGAAATTGAGACTTTGTCAAAAATTGGCCCAAATTAGGAGCTAGACAATAGTCACAATTCTTTGTGATAGCTATCCTGTTCTGTTTTGTATTGATTTAGTAAACTCATTCTTCCCTGTAGAACATAGAAATACCTTTCTCAGATGTTTATGGAATAACATTTTTTTTCCAAAGCTCTTTTGGACTAGTAAAATTATTGTAGAGATAAATTAGCCTGGTTTATTAAAAGCAACATGTAAGATAAATGAGTATTTGAGTCACTTAGGCGTACTTACAGAAGAACTGTTAAAATGTCTAATCCTTAAAACTAAGGTCTGTTCCTAGATGAACAGATGACTAGAAAATGAATGACACAGCTTTTTGTACTCTTCAGAATTACCATCTTCAATGGACCTCAAAATTGTAATTTTAGTTAATAGCCTACCATTACGACAAAATCATTTTTTCCCTTTTTGCAATAGAGTTGAAATTAACAGTAACTCTTGTTGCAAGCATATTCTCTCTTAATAATAGTTACTGGGTTTGAAAATTATGTCCATTACTATCATCAAATCTTTTCTCTGAATTGAAATGCCAAGATTTCTGTACAGTAGATTACAGGGTTGGTCCCAATGTTCAACAATCGAATCCCCAAAGGTTAACTTAATTATGGATTTCAAATGTTTAAAATTGAGGTCAGTTATTTTCTACCTAAAACAAAAGGACATGCTAGGAATTGAACAGATATGGAAGCAAGATACTGTTAGTAATTATCAAGAAAATTTGCCTGTCTACAAGGATTGTTACATAAGGGCAACATTTTTTTTTGCAAAATACCCTCCTGGAAATATTTTTACTAGAATGATCATTCATTCTTTCTAAGTATTTTATGCTCACTAGACTCAGGAGAGGGTGAGAAATCTGACTTTTTTTAACAATTATTGACAATTAAATAAACCCAATCCAAGGTTAAAACATACAATACAAAGAGTTAGCAATGCTTGTGGAACATGCTTACTGTTCCCAAGTTCAAGTCTGCAGTAATTGCCATTTATTTTTTCAAATGTATACTAGTATCTGAGCTTTACACATGATTATCAATTGATTTTGCCACTCAAATAGACATAACAATATGGTAACATATAACCAATTAATAAATTAATATATGAATTATGATTCATCTCTCCCTATGTATAGTAGAGATCCATGGTTTACATTTTGAGAGGCTTATTGTCATTTATTAATTTTCATTAGATATAGAAAAAAAGTTATTGGCAAGTAGTTGTGGAGTGAATGAGTGAATATATATACATATGGTAGCCATGTTAATTTTTAAATTCTTTGATTTTTTTTTATTATTGCAATGCCTTTATTAATATAATTATTTTAGATTGCACCTACATCTGACAATGACTTTGGACGTTATAATTGCACAGCCACTAACCATATAGGAACAAGATTTCAAGAATATATTCTTGCTTTGGCTGGTAAGTATAGCATGATAACTTTTGAGCTTTCATAAAATATTACTGTAAGCAAATTAAATTTTATGTTGATCAAATGGTATCACCTGATATTAAACATTTTAGAAAATCTGATCATTTTTCTAAGATATCATCATATAAGTCATTATTGAATGAATTAATACTGTTAAAACATACAGTAGTGAATCTGAAATAAAGTATACACTTAGAATACATTTTTAATAATACCTTATTATTAAACTGATTCCATTTCCCCCCATTTCCTAAGTATTTCTGACAGAAATAGGAAAACAAAAATTCAGGAAATCAAATTATATTTCAAGTAAACTAAGAACTCTGCCAAAAACTAACAAGTGCCCTGAAAGCAAAAGAACTAATGATAATCAATATATTTTAAAATTCTAGACTTAAAGTATAAATTACAAAAAAGAAATAGTCTTAAAATAATACCTCATTAAATAAATACTGATAAATGGAAAAAATAGTAACTTTATATGTTATAATCAATAAACCTAGAAGACAACACTTGAGTCAGTGATCAAAGTCTGCATCATCACTTGTGGGAATATTAAACTGAGATATTACTAAAGAGAGGCAATATGAAGAACACAAAATTATGACTGTGATATTCTGTCTAAAAATGCACAAACTGAACTTAAGCATGAAGAAATGAAAGACAGATCAAATCTTAGGTACTTTCTATAATGCAAGGAGTCTGGTAGCATAGTGCCTAAAGCATTTGACTGCTAACCAGAAGGCTGGCAGTTCAAACCTACCATCCACTCCTCAGAAGGAAGGTTGGGCAATCTACTTCCGTACTGACACCACCTCGGAAACCCAAGGAGGGACCACTATGAGGCGGATCTGACTCCACGGCAAATAACAGCAACAACATGTGTATATATGTATATGTATTTATAGATATATATTTTTAAAGACTTCACCAATAATTATTCCTCTAGTTCTGCTTTCTAGCTAGGAGGTATATTTGAGTTTTTCAGGTAAATATTTGCATACATATCTGCAGTGTAGTAAAATACATGGTATGGCTTTCTAGCTATAATCTTTGTAATTCCCACCAGATTACTGGGTGGGAACTTGCAATTTAAACTCCTCTTTGTTAAAGTCATCCACCTGGGGTTTTTCTGTTGGAGCAGCATGAAGCAATCTTCTGCAAAAGTTTGTGCTCTCTCAGGTTTATAGGACTCTGATGTTGGGATTGGTTGGTTTTGCCACTCTGCCAGGTTTAGTGGAGCGCTGGTAATATAGTGCCTTAGGCATTTGACTTCTAACCAGAAGGCTGGTATTTCAAACCCATCAACCACTCCTTGGAAGGAAGACTGAGATACTGCCTCAGAAACCCAAGGAGAGGTTGCTATGAGTCAAATAGACTCAATGGCAGTGAGTAATAGAGTAATAGTAGAGGCAGAAGGACTCTGAGTGCTGGCTGAGAGAGATGCACATCTGAGAAAGAGACAGCAGGCTGAGATAGAGAGATGCCCAGCAGAAAGAGAGACACCTGGCTGAGAGATGGCAGCAGTGGAACCAAGAGGCACGAGATGGATTGGCAGGCTTACCTGGCCCAGAGAGGCAGAGGCCAGGCTGAGAGGCCAAGGGCCAGAGAGGTGTGTCTAAGGACAGAGTAGAGGGGGGACTGTCCTGACTGAAGAACTGTATCCTGAGTGTGTTCCTGAACTTGAATTATAGCCTGTTGCTTCCCTAATAAACACCCTATTCTGCAAGTTCTGTGTGGCCACTGCAGTGAATTACTGAACTGAGTAAAGAAGTGGTAGGTGCTGCAGAAAGGACAGTTTGTGTCAAGGTTAAGAGAGCTGGTGGGTAGTGGCATATCTGGCCTCATAGGAGCAGGCCTTGGGTTGCTAGTGGTGATTCTGTTTTCCTCTTGGATAGTTACAGGAGGACAAAAGATGTCACCTCCTTGCCCCTTTAGCAGTTAATGTCAGAAATGGGATTCTTTGCAGTGGCTCCAGACTCATAGAAGCATGGGATTTTGTAAAAGAAAGAAGGACAGGGCTTGGGAAGTGAAACTTCGGGTTCTCAGATGGTTACTTTGGTTATTGTAATTTTGGTATACAGAGACATTATGCTGCAACTGAGGAGGGAAAGGACTGATGCAAGAGACAGGCCAATTAAGGAGATAATGGATCCAGAGGCTAGGGCTTTTGGTTACACCCAGCCAAAGGCCCAAGGGCGTCCACACAGAATGGAAAGATTACCAAGGGGAAGAGATGAAACTGGGATATCTTAAATAGGATTATGTGTTTCAGATTTTATGTTTATCTGAATGTACTAAGGTATTGAATGTTCTCTTACCTACTTGTACATTAGAAATGTTTATGGGGTATTGATAACAGAGAGCTTGTAAGTCCACCTTCAGCCAGTACTTGATTGGATATGTTAAAGGAGAAATAGAATTTGCCCAAAGAAACACTGGCTTTTGTTTCAAACCCTGTGTGCAGAATACAGGGGGCTTAGGTAGAAGACCTGAGCCTCACCCAGAACCAGCTGAGTGAGGAATTTCCATTTGAAAAGACCCACCTAGAGCTACTGAGAGAACAGTAAATTTGCATTTGAAGAAAGGACCTGAAAGAAAAAATGTCCAGCAAGCAGGAAAGTCATGGCTCATGAGAGAAACACCTTCCAGAACTAGAAGTTAAAGAAAGCTAATTGAATTGTAGCCTGTTGCTTCCCTAATAAACCCCATAGTCTGTGAGTTCTGTATGGCCACTGAAGCAAATTATCGAACCCAGCAAAGAAGTGATGGGTGCCACGAGAGGGACAGTTAGTGTCAAGGTTGGTAAGAGGGTTGGAGGGTGGCGGCATGTCTGGCCTCATAGGAACAAGCCTTGGGCTGTTGATAGTGATACTGTTTTCCTCTTGTGGAGTTAGAGGACAACAAAAGATGCTGCCTCCTTGTCCCTTTAGCAATAACAGAGAGTAAAATCATATATGTAAAACAATTAACAGTAAAGAAAATTTTAACTATATAATATTCCTTCTTTACAGTTTTCTATTTCCAAAAGTTCATGATTTTACAAGGTAGTCTGTTCATGTGCAATTTTTGTTCATTTTTTCTATACAGACATTTTCTGTAAATTTAAAAAACATTATTATCAATATATTTCATTCCTATTTTTCATAACTTTCTTTCTCTCTTACATAATTGTTCTTTTTAAACCCTAACATGATGATTCCACTTTTGCTTTATTAGTTGGCATACTTTTCTGATCGGCATCTTTTCTTGGGCAGTTTTTGGGATGGGGCTTGGCTGTAAGCCGTCAGCAGACAACACCTCCAGCAGCTAGGGAAATGAGTACCTCCTTACTGAAGAAGATTCTTAACGGTGCTATTCAGTGTCCACTCCAAGTACTTACCTAATAAGACATTTGTGAGGAGCAAATGAGATCATGTACTGAAAACATCCATTGCAATATATGTTCTCCAAAGATATTAGCCGTTATTATAGCCAAATTATAGTTAATATTGGTCACTGATCTTCGTGTACAAGTCTTTTTGTCAATGTCTCTTAATTATCATACATAAATCCAAATATCATGAACCAGTTCAGAGTAAAATGTGATTTTGACCTAAGTTACTATAAAAAAGAAAGCAAACTCACTACCATGGAGATGATTCGACTTATAGTGACCCTTCCTTGAGTTTCCAAGGCGGTATCTCTATGTCAGTAGATTGATTGCCCAACATTTCTTCTGAGGAGTGGCTGGTAGGTTTGAATCACCAGCCTTCTGGTTAGCAGTCAAATGCCTTAGGCAACTATGGACATTATATTTCTATTAAATAATAGAATTTTGGATTGGATTTTGGCACGTTTTCTTTCTAGTGGCTTGTCCCTACATCTCTTTCACACAAGCTACTATTAAATAAGGTCTTCAATACTGTGCTTCAAAATTGATTTTTTAACTTCACTTCAGAACTCTATACTTATCCCTACTAAATTGCACCTTGTTATGTTTGGCTCATCTTGTTAACCTACTGAGACCCTGTCAAGTCCAATGTTTTAGCTCTATTTCCAATATTAAATTAATTCACAAATATCATGAAATAGCCATTTCTAATTTTACCCAAATCATGGATAAATGCATACTTGTCTTTAGGAACAAAGACATGGTTGCCAAGTAAGTTGGATTAGTTTAACAGAATTCTGACAATATAGAATTATAGTCAATCTACTTAGCCTTTGACCTAGACTATATTTTATCAAGACTCATGCCCCCAAAAACTAGACAATAGGTTAAATTAAGTTAAATCCAAAGCATGTGCTTTTCTACTGCATATAAAGTTTCTCATAAACAATTGGTTTTATGTTCTCCCTCGAAAGAGTTTACACATTGCTCATTTTCAAAATCATAAGGCAAACCTTGGTGAATCTTAGTGATATTCAGAAACTATTAAAGTCATTCCCTTGATTCTCTCATTCAGATTCTGCCATAAATAAAGCAAATTAGAATACTTGGACATTGGACTTGGACATAATTCATGCAACATTTCTTAGTCGTTTGTTAATTTACTCCGTCACCAAACATATAGTGAAAACATAGTAGGTGCCAGGGTCTGTTCTAGATCTTGGGAATCTGAAGAAGAATAATATATGATACTAATGTTCTCAAATAAATTAGATTATTAAAGATAAGGCTTGCAACAGAAGTATGAGTGCACAAAATAAATGCTTCAGGATCACAAATTATAATTCTTAGTGGAGTTCTTAGGAGAGAATTCAAAGAGAGGACAAATTTTGAATTGGGTTTGAAAAGGTGAGTTGAAACAAGTCCTGCAAAGAAGAAAGAAAAAGAGTGAAAGATTAAGGTGAGACATGCACAAAGGTACCAGAGTATGAACAGACATGGATATTTGGGAAATGAGAAAGCATTTTAATGGAAGACAGGAGGGGTATATTATGTGTACTAATGGTGGTGAAATGAAAAGAGAGGTCATAAGAAATCAATTTATGCATTGCCTCTTAG